ATCATACAGTGGTGGTGCTAATTCTACGAACGTATACTTATAAAAAGAAAAATATCGATAATTTTTATAAAATTTCTACTGTTTGATATATTTTCATAAGAGGACGTCACAATGGCATGTGTTGTCTCCGTCTTAAAAAAGTGCAACATAGCAAATCTGCGTTCGGTAGAAGTTCATTATCACAGTAAACTTTAGTTTATTATCGAACTTACGAGGTTAAAACATTATCCGAATCGACGGTTGCAGAAACGTCACGATTCACATATCTTATGAAATCGAGATATCGGATGAAGTAAGGTGTGTTCGTGGAATAGACGATTTTGTGTAATTATTTGTTGAATGTATAATGTAATTCCCTATTACGGGATCAACTTGATAATGATACTGATCTTTAAAAACGCAGTCATCTTTAAGATGCGAGTCCATCCCGTAATAGGGAATTTCATTACACGTTCAGCAAATAATTTCACGAAATCGCTTACACCACGAAAACACCTTACTTCACCCGATATCTCGATTTCATAAGATATATGATTCGTGACGTTTCTACAACCATAGATTCGGATAGTGTCCTACCCCTTAAGTTCGACGGTAAATCACAGTTCAACGCGATATTATACGATACAAAATTGGTTCTACTGAACGCCCGGATATGGTAAGTTGCACGGTTTTAAGACGGAAACTAGCCAAGAGAGGTGTTTTCTTTTCAAAACATCACTAGAAATTTCATGAAAATTATCGATACGTACAAGCCCGATAACATGATCCTTGCCTTCCCGTCGGATCGGTAACACTGACCGATGCGCAACGATGTCGGATCTACTTCGTCGCTCGTCCGCGACCGGATTACGTGGAACGGAAGAACGCGAGCCAGCGGAACGGGCCGACGAACGTCCGCAGCGACCACACGGCCCGCACGATCGGCACGTACACGGTGGCCAACAAGCACGCGGCGGCCAGTACCACGGCGCACTGGGCGACGGCCACGCACACGGCGTACTTGCGGTCCTGTTTCGTGGGGCAGCGGTATATGCACACCAGGTGGCCGAACACAAACAGCTTGATCTGGAGCACTACGGTCATAAGCCGGCCGACGGCCAACAGTCCGACGACTTGGTGGCCGACCACGTAGGAGATCGTGAGCAGCGCGATGACGAGCTGAACGAACGTGCACTGGTTCGTGGGCACGGCGGTCGTCTTGTTCTCCCAGCACAGCGGGTCGACGTGTAGGTTCAGCCGCCGCTGGGCGGTGAACAGCAGTTGCCGCATCCACCAGAAACGCGGTCGCGGTGATTCGCAGCAACAGCCGTCCATGGCGCGGGATCGGTCGATCGACATTCGGAAGAAATCGGAAGAAAACGAAAAAATATTTCGTGAGAAATATATAACGCGTGTCGGATTAGAAAACGGTCGCGTCGATGGGTATTGCACGACGCATAGTGGAATATTGTCATAAAAACCTGGCCAAAATTAGAAATTTCAAAATACATTTAGCATGATGATTGTTGATAGTTTATCTAATAGATATAATATTAAAGCAATTACGTAATATTTTACGTTACTATCAGTATTAATTGTATTGCAATAATACCCCAGAGTATGGCATTACAGATGCGACGCGCACGTTGGTATTATTCTGTACAAAAAGTTTAGTTAGAACATAGCTGATATTTTGTGTTGTATAGTTATTTTTACGAAAAAAAAAATGAACTCGTTACCTGGAGGAATGTATATTGTATTTAAGTTTAATAAAATGTAAAATCAATTTATCTTTATATTTTTATATACAATTTTAATAAAAAAATACAAGAATTAAAATAAAATATACAAACATAAAATTCATCATTAATTTTAGTAAACTTCCGAGATAGTCCGAGTCCATACAATCTTATCTTTTTTTAGTGTATGTTATGCAGTTTCAAAAAAATTAAAAAACAATTGCGCATACTTGCGCTTTATTGTGTAAATTACTTTTGATTCACATACATGTGATTACATGTGATTACATGTGATTAAACGTATTAAAATTGTTTTTATTCAAACAACACTTGGTATTTTTATACTAATGTTATAATATTATACAATTTTAGGATCTGGTGATAATCATATGTCTATAAGTCGGAGAACATTATTTCATGTAATGCAAGAAATTAATGCTAAACAATTTACTGAACGATTTGACCATTTAAAGAAACGTTTAGTTACATTAACAGAATGTCCGGAAAATTCCTTAAATAAATTATTATCATACTTCATTAGTGAGTTTAAATCTAAATGGCAATCATCACAGAGAAAAAAGAACATATTTCTATTAAAAAATAAAATCTGGTTAGACTCTGAAATACATTTTCCTTCAAAGATTTCAACTCAGTCGGGCAAATCTAGAGGTCGGCCTTCTACATCATTTCATGATAGTAGTGATCGATCAAAAAGAAGAAAAACGGAACAATTACGTACCCAATATAGTCCAACTATGCTTTCATATGCTGCTCAAATGTCTTTAAGAAAATCTGGAAATGTAGATAGTACGTACGTTATAAAAAATATTACGTGTACAACACCTACAAGAGCTTCAAAGTACAAAAAATCTTATAAAGACAGTAAAAATAAAATTAAGGTTATTTCTAATGACGAAGCTCTTTCTTTGCTTATTGAGGCTCAGTTGACAAAGCATCAGTACAATTTAATAAGGACTCAGGCAAAAAAACATGGTTGTAATATTTATCCTGCATATTATCTTTTAAGGTACGCAAAAAATGAATGTTATCCTGAAAAATCTTGTTTGCAAATAACAGAAAGTTGTGCTGAAGTGAAATTACAAGCATTATTAGATATAACTACTCAAAGAATTTTAAAATCACAGGGTAGTATTATTGATTCAGTGAGTGATAAATATTTTGAAAAATTATATTTATTTCCAAATGGGGTTGTGATGGTAGTTCTCAACAAAGTGAATACAAACAAGTTTTTAATAGTGAATGCGACTCGGACTCGAGTATATTTTTTACATCTGTTGTACTTTTGCAATTAGTCAGTGGAGATATAGATGCCCCCAATAAGATAATACTATGGCAAAATCCCCGTCCTTCATCACCCAGATATTGTAGACCAATTAAAATTAAATTTATACACGAGACCGTAGACATAACTTTACAAGAAAAGGTGTGTATAGAAAATCAAATTGATAAACTTCAACCATCTATTGTTCATTTTAACGATACTGAAATCATGGTGAATCATATTTTGATGTTTACTATGATTGATGGTAAAGTGTGTAACTCAGTCACTTCAACTAAGTCTGCAATGAGGTGTTATATATGTGGAAGTACATCTAAAGATTTTAATAAAATTGAAAAAATTATAGATATAAAAACAAATTATTTAAATTTAAAGTTTGGGCTTTCAATTTTGCATTCGTGGATACGATTTTTTGAGTGTTTGTTACATTTGTCATACAAAATCGGTATTAAAAAGTGGCAAGCGCGTGGAGATGAAGAGAAAAGAAAAGTTTTGGAAAATAAGAAAAGGATTCAAGAAGATTTTAAATCTAAATTAGGACTACTGGTTGATATTCCTAAATGTGGTTATGGAACTTCAAATGACGGAAACACAGCGAGGCGATTTTTCGAAAATACAGAAATGTCGTCATCTATTACTGGAGTAGATATTGAAATAATTAATCGTTTTAAAATAGTATTATTAACAATATCTAGTGGATACAAAATAGATTTGAAAAAGTTTAATAATTACTGTATATTAACTGCACAAAAATTTGTCGACAAGTATCCTTGGTATAACATGCCAACATCTGTTCACAAAATATTAATTCATGGAACTCAAATAATTGAGGCACTGTCAATATTACCAATTGGTCAATTTTCTGAAGAGTCACAAGAAGCTAGAAATAAGGATATAAAAAAATATAGAGAAGGATTTTCAAGAAAATGTTCTAGAATTAAAAATTTAGAGGATGTTTTTAATAGACTTTTAATAAGTTCTGATCCATTTATTTCCAGTCTAAGGCAACTGCCTCAAAAAAATATTAAACATATTCACCCAGAAGTATTGGAAATGATTTTGCCTCCAGACATCAACATAAAAACAATAGAAACAGAGTCAGATATTAGTAGCGAAAATGAAGTTTCCACGTCGTCGAATGAATAAATTCAACAGAAACGTGACTTATAATTTAATTTTGATAAATAAATTTTATTTATATCTGTAAAATAATATTATTCTACTAAAATAACATGATATAAATAATTAAATGAAGTTAAGTAAATTGATTTTTAATTAGTATTTATATTTTGGCCAGGTTTTTATGAAAATATCCCACTGTGCGACGTGGTGTTATAACGACGCGGTTTCGTGGTGACTACCGGCAACCGTAGCACATGTGTTTGTTTACTGGCCAGCTCCGATAAGCGACATTACGATTCTCCTAAACAGGATCGGACGGTCGAACAGTTGGACCGAAGAACAAATAATGTCCATACGGTTTCTGTGCCCGTTTGGATTCGACAGAAACTCGTTGCATTAATAAAATTAATTATTAGTAAAATTACGAATTTTTGATTAACGATGCCCGTTTTTTTTTTTTTCAAGAAAAAAGTTTATTTTATAATATGCTATTGTTTTTTAGTAGTCGGTGTGATTGACCACACATTTTTGGTTTTTGATCATACACGCATAGAATGGAATTCAGATCATGCAAAAATAGAATATAAATCACATTAAACTAGTTACGTAAATATATAGAGTGACGTGCCTACAGCAGACAATTCGATGAGCATATTTTGTTATTGATAAAAATGGTTTAAATATTAAGAAATTATATATTTTAGTATTTAGATAAAATTGGCTTCACATAATAATCTAATTAATTAAATGATAATTCAATTATTGTGATATATTATTTTAGTTATTTAGAACGGTAATTTCCCACGGGCCTTTACGTGGAGTATACATGTTAATAACTAGATAGAAATGATTCTTTGGTGGGGAAAAGCGGATTTCTAGGGAAACGGAGCTTTTATAAAAACCGACTGAATTCGTAGGTGAATAATTTAACAGTAGATCGTTGATTAAATTCATCAAAACTTTAATTAAATTATTGAACCGATGCGTCATATTAATATTTATGTGAATACGATTTACAATAAAAATACAATATTAGTAGAAACAGAAATATCGAACCATATTATTTAGCGACCCAATATTAATATCGAATTATAAACAAACAAAATATTAATGTTGAAAACAGTGGCGATATGTTTTTTCGTTTGGAGTTATTGATCTGTATGCACGTGCCGTTTAAATTTCCTGTACAACATAAGAAACAGAGATTAGGAAACGTATAATTTACCATATCGATTTAAGATGTTAGTGTTGTGGATAAGCCTATAGAGAAACTATAAGTTTTCCGATGCCCTTGTTCGTACTCATTCATAAGTTATCTCCTCCCTAACGTTTTAAACTATATTTGTAATTCGTTAACAATATCGTGATAAATAATTGGAAAATTTTTGCTGTCGGACTGAACATGACGATTCGACGATAGAGTTTACGTTATTACATTATTAATGAGGTGGTTAAAAGTATTAATGTGAAAACAATGATTACAAGTTAAATCTACGAAATAAAGCTGTGAACAGTGGTCAATCCAGTTTCCGATGAGATAAAACAGTCCCATCCATCGCTGAGACGATGTGCACCGGCGTTTCTCAAACGTTTTTCGTAATATTGGCCGATTCAGGTTAACGTTAAACCGTTATGGGCCTTAAAAACGTTGAATTTTTATTTCAAACCATCGAAATCAACTCGCGCAGGCGCGAATAAGCACGATGTAAACAAATAAGCGCAGATCAAATTTCGAATAATCATTCTTTCTACCGACCGGTCGATTTCGACGATCGATAAACCATGATTACGATTCGTTTAGTAAACGAAAAAAAATACGTACGATTATTTCCATCGAAGCGTGGTCGTCGCCGTGGCTCGGTGCCGCCGGAGAACCGCGGTACCGCGCCATCCACCGTTGGAAGTCCGCGTGCACGTTCTCGGCCACCGGTTCGGCGACCGTTCTCGTCCAGCCGAGCGCGCGGAAACAGTTGCGCAACAGCGGCGCGGGCAAGTTTTGCCACACATCCGAGATCAGGTGCGCAAAGTCCAGCACAGTCAAGTGGCCGTCCGGCGGCAGCGAGCGCCTAGCGTGAAACTCGTACGCGGCCGCGTTGCACACGACGTGCGCCCCGAGCGGATGCACCGTCGCGCCGTCCGCTGGGAACCGCGCCACCTCAACGTTGCGTAACCGGACGCCCGGCGGCAGCGACAGCCGCCTGTCCAGCACCACCAGCACGCGGCGCGGCGGCCGCACCGCCCGGTCCAGCCGTTCGACGAACGAGCCCAGTCCACCGGTCGTCCACCGGCCGCCGGCCGCGGCCGCGTCCAGCAGCGGTTTCACGTCGCGCGAGTACCGCGGGTCGTCCCGGTCGTCGTTGTCCACCACCAGCGGCCGCAGCCTGTCCGTGCCGGTCACGTTGCACGCGAGCACCACGCCGATCCGGCGCGCCAGCCACTCGCCGCCCGGCCCCGACGACAGGTAGAAGAAGCCCGCGTCCACCAGGCTGTACACGTCGTCCGCGCGATAACGGCTCGTCGTCCGATGGGCGCCCGCACCGAACAGGTTGTACTTGAACTTCCAGTGCAGCGCCCACGAGCTGTTCGCGGTGAAGTTGGCCACGCCGATCCGCGCGGCCAACTCGCCGGCCTCGGCCAACACCGCGGCCTCGTCCACGGGCCGCCGGCGACTCCGCGCGTCCCGGAACCACCGCAACAGGCCCGTCTCCAACGCCATGAACCTTCGGTTCCGTTCGGCCGCCCGGCGCGACCCACTCCCCTCCTCCTCCTCCGTCGTCTCCCGGTGCTCCTCGATCGTCCGCCGTCCGCGTAGCAGCTTCTTCAACGTGTCGCGCGTCACGTTCAACATGGCCGCGGCCCGTGGCTGCGAGATGTACTGCAACCGGCCGCCGTCGTAGCACACCAACAGCTCCTTGCGGTCGCGCATCGACAGCTCGCTCAGAGTTCTCGTCATCCCTCTGTCCCTTCTCGACCGTACTGGACGTGGTCGACGTTCCGCAAATACTGTGCCCCAGGGACGTTTCACGCCGTTCGCAAAACCCTGTCCAATCGTCCCGGTAGTTTTTCACTATAGCGAACACAACACGCGGTCCACTCGCTTCCGACACGTATGCGGGCGCTTAAGGCAAATGCTTTCCGGCTTTACGCCGTTAATGGCCTGCGCCGCGAAATCAATATCAAATCGATTTTTAATCGTCCCCGTCGCACCGGGAAACGGCTCTTGGACACTTAACGACCGGCGAGAGGAGCCCCTATCGACGATTTTTTTCTTTTTTTCATAACCATGTGGCGTCGTTTGGAAATCGTTCGGTTCGTACATTCAAAAACGTAGAAAAAGACGATTAAACCGCTCCGAATTCGAGTAGGAGTAAAAATGTACTTATCAATTGGAAAGCCGAACTATATTTATAATAATAACACTATTAGTACAAGTGCATTTCACATTCGATTTAAATATGCAAAATGTACAAGTGCTCTAATAATAAGTAAATATATATATATAAAATTACGTTATATATATATATATATATATATATATATATCTTTGTTGGGTTTGTGACGACCAGAGTTAGGTTAACCTATTTTACCATCATTATAATATAATCTATTATTGTTATATTATTCAAGTGCTCGTGTGATAGCGTTTCTTGACCCGTGGGTTCAAGTCCACCGATAAAATTCCACACCTGCTGATGTGACGAATGCTCACACGCTCCCCTCTGTGATTTTCACGGTCTGGGCACACTCACCACCGTCGTACGACAATATCAGCCAATTAATTTAAATAATTACATAATGTTCTCGCTACCACTTCTCTGTCACTCGTCGAATTTGCTGCTGACCAAGCCGGTGGGCGACGACACTTCTTTTTCTATACACGCCCGTTAACACTGCAGCACGGAGGAGTAGAACACCGATTTGTTACTTCACTTTCGGACAGCATCATAGTTGCACACTGTGTGGTTGGTACTATACATTATTTTATTATTATTTTCAATACACCGTGGCCGGTATCCCTGTTTTTCGAATTATTATTATTGTTATTATCATATACTTCGTCCAGAGGAGCCGGTGGGAGGTATATTCATATGTTTATTTATTTTGTACTTATTATTTTCTTTTCATCTTGTCTGAGTTTTACACCCGAAAGAGCTTTGTCGGCACCAATATAATTTTTTACCCATTTTGTTAATTCGTGTAAATTTTACCGTTTGGTATTTTATCCTTGTTCCTATATACATATTTAAAAAAAAAAAACAACAAATCCTATATGCTCTGACAAACGCCTCGGCTATAGGTTGGCGACCCGATACGGCCCGTCACAAACGCTCCACTAATTGTCGGTCACGTTGAAAACGCGAGACGTTACAGGTTGTAAAAATGTGAAAGTCAACAATTAAAATTTTTCCAGTAGGATTTATTAAAAGTTTGAAATGTTTTCCTTAATATTTTTTTTATTATATAACCTTTGTTTATACTCTTTTCGAACTAATATATACTTTAATTTTTAAGTTTTGCTTTCAAATTAATGAAAATATTATTTTTAAAATAGCATGGCCTAACTCCTCTTGATCGCGTATCAAAGGTATACTTGTATATATATATATTATACCAATTATTTCTATACGTTTCCTATTTTTTTTTTTTTTTTTTTTTTGATATCTGGTGCGAATATCAATTTCAACTCATGCATTGTTTAATTCAAATATTTTAAACTTAAAATATTTGATAACAACATTACACAATATTGATGTTTAAAATACGTTCGGGTAAAATCGATAGTAATCCACTAAAATTGCGACAGAATCGATATTTGATTGAAATCGGTTTAACTAATAAAGATCCAAATGTGTCTCCAATCTTCATGTATAAAACATCAATCGAAAACTATAAGAACCAACGAACATTATCGAACCGTGAAGTATTGATGTTAAAAGGGGATTTTCATTTAATACGGGTGAGTGTGTGCTTAATCGATTAACGGGATATAATTACGATTATATTTCGTTATTTTCTCGTCGGACACATGATTTTTGTGATTTTGATATTATTAGTGTTTCGATGGTTTGTGGAAAAAAAAAAGAATAAAAAATACCCAAGTATTTCTATACCGAATCGCTCCCGACACTATTGGTGTGTTGGTGTAACCTCTGCCGCGCGTTTCGGCGTGTTGACGACGTGACTACCATTGAGGTGACAAGACAATGTTATTATCGTTTTTTTTTCTTCATTATTTTTATTGTATTTTATTATGATCTTTTTTTTTTGTGAGGTCAATTCGGACGCCATTACGTGCTCGGGTGTCTCGAGATTCCGATCCGGTGGTCACCCTGTAACAATGCGTATAAAACAGAAAATTACTATATTGTATTTTCCCTCAGCTTGGCAACGCACGAATAGTGCATTAACAGCATCGCGCGCGCGCAGTGTGTATGAAAAATAATAATGATGATAATAATAATAATAATAATAATAGAAAAAATAGAAACAGAATAAAAAAAATAAAAATAATATCCAACGGATTAAAATGATGTTCCCTACCCTCGTGTTTTTATACCGACGCAATAATATTCGTGTCCAGAAAAATTGATGAATATTTTGTTGCCAATGATTTTTTCTAGTTTTTTTTCCCCCTCGGTTTAATTCTTTTTAACGAGTTTGTTCTTAAGTGCGCACAACCATGTAAATCGATTTAAATAGATTCCGTATGATTATCGTCCGTTATACTCGTAATACAATCCGACTTTAAAAGAAACGTATATTTTTAAAAAAGAAATATTTCGATAAAAATGTGTGTGTGTGTCGTATGTTATAAATGATATATTATATGAATATAAAATATTATTACATATTCTAAAAGTACGTACGAAAATACACTTTGTACATTTTTTTTGTACGAGGCGCATAATTCGAAATCATCGAGAACTGCATTAATTTATTATTTGTCGCGCTTTATCAAGATAATTTACATACATGGATTTATGATGTTATTCAAACTAGTTGTAACGTCTCGAACTTCAATTATGTCCATGACTTTCAATATATTATCGAGGCTTAAATATTATATAAATAATAATGTCTAATGCGAAAAAAAAAAAGTAGAAGATTTAAACGGTGCAAAAGCGGTCAGTACAGCAATAAGCTTGTACACCGTGCTTACGTAAACGATAATTTTCGTATAAAACCGTGAGATAGTTTAAGTACACGTTTATATTGATCGCCAACATTCTTCGTACCGATAGCCGCTAAGTATTTCGGCAATAATCGTAAAATGATCGTTAAATATGATATATTAATTGTTACACACTTGCAATCGAAAATAACACTTATGTTTTAGTACCTCTGCTACAAAACACGATGATAACATGCAACCTGGCCAATTCCGCGCCAGAGGATTTTTTCCTTCGTATTAATTATTGTCCGAATCACACGTAAAATGCTTAACGTTGTTCACCAAACCGACCGTAGTGCGGTCACGAGACGTAAAGCCGACGATTTATTTGTGTTTTGATCGTTTCACGTTCGAGAATTCGCAATAAAACTGATTTGTTTAAATGTTTGTCCGCGCGGTTTATAAACATGTGCCGCGGCATAGCACTAAATATTATGATGATGTGTGTCACATAAAAGTACGTTTCCGCAATCGCGTCCGAGTCCGCTCGATTTTCATGATAGTTATTATAATGAACAGGACGCGACCAGGTATATCCTCGTTTAAATCTCCGCGGATTAATATCATAAAATACAATAACGTAATTTACCCGTGAACACGGGTAAACACATCCTAGTACGGAAAACGTACGCTGTGGTCGCTCGGAACAAACGCCAGGTATGTAACGCTCTGTACACGTTCGAATAGGTTTGGTCGCAAATGAAACACTTTTAACACTTTTCAAACGAACAAGAGGTCCCCGGTATAATTTAATATGTAATATATTACGTAATATGTAGAGTAGAGAGCTTTTTTTTTAGCGCTAAGTCATTCTCGAACTAATGTTCAACGTGTGCGTGTAGAAAGCGATTATAATCGAATGCACTTGAACGCGTGTAAACTCGATTGATCGCAGCAGGATAGCACGGCCTCGTAAAACGTACAACTGGAAAATGCATTACGAAACAATGTATATTATTTTAATCGCGTAATAAGAGCTTATATCATTTGCTAATTACTATAGATTACTAATAAAAATATCAAAGCGAGTCTCATACGTTTATTTTATGTAACGAAAAATTTCAAATCAACAATTTTATGCTTCGTGTTTTTACACATTCTAAAAAAATGTTATTTCTACGACGTTGTTTTACAAATGTTGGTACTAGTTCTTACATTAAATTTGTTTTATTTTGTGTTTTCTATAAATCGGATTTTTTTTAAATTGAAATCGTAGAAAAAGTCTTGCGACTAAAATAGAAAAATCCATTCGTTTTTTTACAGTTTTTTTTTTTTTTTTTTATAAATTTGTCAATCCATAAATAACTTTCTAATGCGTTTACAATTTTTCAATTGCAAATTTAAATAAGAGATTGTTTTTATTTTTGTTGCTATTTTTCTTCTTTTTAGGTCATAGTATAGCGTATATTTCAGTACTTTTCGTGGTGTACAATCTGAGTTCTGGTTATAATGTTTTTTCTAATAATGTGGTCTTTCACACGGTTAATTCGACTAACACGTTGAGTTCGGGTTTTGCATTGGATTCGTTGCATCGACGTTCTCGTGTAACGAAAAACACAGTTTTAATCTTCATATTTGTGTCTTTATACACAAAGAGAAAAAATAATAATCAACTCGAGATGATGGTAATGATGACACTGTAATGGGTGTAATCCTCTGACGCGTTTGTAGTAATCCTCCGTCGCGTTTCGTGCACGAAAATAATATTCGAGCTCACGTATGGCTCCTGTAGAAACGTAGAGACACATGCCGACACCGCGGTCAATTCGACGCGTATGAATATATTACAGGTGTATATAATAATATACATATAATATACTTATCGTTTTTTACGGTCAATTCCAAATCGGTTAATCCCTCCCTCCCCTCCCCCCCTTGAATTCTCTCGCCGATAACCGCGATCGACAATGCTGTTGACAATGTTCAATTCTATAGGACTACATCCACGCATACGTATACATGTACGTATTGATGTTATAATGCATGCATATGACATTATTACGTACAAAAACAGCGCATCGCCGTGTCACCGACGATGAGTTTGAATAGCACATAAACAATATCGAATGACAATATAGATTTTTGCATAAAGGATCCGTTATACGATGTTGTTGAGGGGGCACGCCTCTTTTGCGGGAAAAAACACTCTGACCTACTGCGAGACGATGTTTCGCGAGAAGAACCGGCAAAGTGGAATTTAAATCGTCGACGTGCGTTCATCACTGGAGGACATCCACCGTTCTCGGAATCCATAAACGTCCGAGAGCGTTTTAACGACACTATTGACTCCGTTGGCTCCGGAAACCGCATAATTT